AAGCTTGCTGACACCGCAGCTAAGTCTGTCTGTTCTGATACCATCACGGCCGTAACTGTGCCATACATGGACTACGATCCTGTATTCAAGGCTCGGCTTTGCACCAGTTGGCAGTCGGCTTGGGATGAACAACGTCATAACAAGCTTTTCCAGATCAAACCTCTCTTTGGCCGTCTTGTTTCCGTAAAGATCGTAAGGAGGAAGTTGTTTTGGCACGGCTACGCATCGGTCACAGTTTTGTAACTCATGGTTTTCTTTTATCTGGTTCGGACCCACCAGTGTGTAGCCGTTGTGACACTCAAGTCACAAATTCCCATATTTTACTGTCGTGTCGTCGTTATGAGCGTGAGCGACGGCACCATTTTAGACACGTTTTTTATAGAGGTTTATCTTTGATATTGGACGATGTCAATGGCGATGGTGACACTGTCCAACTTGATTGTGTTTTAGCTATTTACAGGCCATTGGCCTTTTTAGATGTATTTAACATTTTAACTGCTTTTTTGTACATTGTTTACTTTTCCAATGATTTATTTTTACCCTTTTTAGCCTTTTACTCTCGATGTTTTTAGTTGTTTGACGTAGATAGCCCAGTTGCTTTGCATCAGTAAACACCAAACAACAACAACGTTTTAAAAAAGGAAGTAAATGTAGGGATGGCTAATATCAATACTTCAAAAACAATTCAGACAAGATAGCAGGTATGGCATTTGCATCATCCCTACATAATAGCACAGGGAAGAATTAACACGTAGCAATATATATATAACTATTCAATAACAATTGGGTTTAATTTATCCTATTTTTATCTGTTAACATTCTACTGCACTGTGTGCCTGTTTTTTGTTTACTTGTATATAAATATATGATAATTTGGCAATTTAAATGTGTCTTACTTTGGGTATTATTTACAACAATGTGACCATTGTTCCTTTCAACTTTTACAATTGTTTAAAGTTACTAGTTTTTTAAAGAACCGGTTTATTGCCCACTACCCTGATGCATTGTACATTCTGTATATATAAATATATTTCTTTGTGAGTGAGAACCTCTCTTTGCTACATCTGTTTTCAAATTTTATTTCTTACATTAGTTTTACTCTCCGTTAAGCTTTTCAACATATCTATTTCCACCTTGTTTATCTTGTTGATATGTAAAGTAATCTTTCTGCTGTATCTTTTACTTACTAGTACGTTTCTCTATACAGTATGTTTTCTACAACGTTTATCTGTACAGTAATACTTGAGCTGCATTTATTGTTAGTTTGCCACAGCAGAGTAATCTTTCTGCTGTATCTTCTACTTACCAGTCCGTTTCTCTATACAGTATGTTTTCTACAACGTTTATCTGTACAGTAATACTTGAGCTGCATTTATTGTTAGCTTGCCACAGCAGAGTAATCTTTCTGCTGTATCTTCTACTTACCAGTCCGTTTCTCTATACAGTATGTTTTCTATAACGTTTATCTGTACAGTAATACTTGAGCTGCATTTATTGTTAGCTTGCCACAGCAGAGTAATCTTTCTGCTCTATTTCTTGCTTGCCATTACATTTATCTGTACAGTGATCTCATGCACTTGTGTATTCTTACTACTGATGTCATATATCTCTAATCTACCCACTGTAAGCTAGCAGTTATAGCTGTGTGCCTGTTTTTCCCACTGTAAGTATCTCTCTATTATAACTGTATTCCTCCCATTTAAGTACTTTTGTATATGCATCCTTCCCGCTGTAAATACCTCTATATTTGTATCGTTCCTACTGTAAGTACCTCTGTATTTGTATCCTTCCTACTGTAAGTACCTCTGTATTTGTATCCTTCCTACTGTAAGTACCTCTGTATTTGTATCCTTCCTACTGTAAGTACCT